GGACAGCATGAAATTAGCTTTGTGGTTTATGGTCAGCTGGTTTTTGTTCCATGGAAAATATATTGGAGGAAATACGTATTTTAAAATCCAGAAGCCTGTAGATTTCATCTGTGTAGAAGGTAGAAGAGGGTCTCACACAAGAAAATAGTATGTGGGACTATTGACATAGAGGTTGTTTGGAAATGGAGCCTGGCTTCTCATTGTTTTCTAACAAAGCAGAGTGGGCCCACATCCATCTACTGTTGAAGTTGGGGACAGTCCCATTAGCCCAGCCTCATTTTGAATTGCAGTCTGCTCTTGCTTGGATCTTTCCACAAGAGTTTGTCCTAATATAAGGGAAGCATTCCTATGGAGACTACATTAGAGCAACTAGAATATTCTTTTGGCACTGCTGTCCTTGTTTACCATATTTCTTGCCAGTTCTTTTAGTTCCATCTACACTTTCTTTTCTTTGTGTTAGGTCTCAGGCTTTGCCGTTGAGTCTACCAAATTGAGGAGAAAACGTTATTTTGTGTTGGTTCTTTGCCGTTAAGCATTGTCTTATGGGATTTTGTTTCATTTTGGTGAATTTAAGTGTCTTCTGTATACTAAAGGTAAAAGACCATTTAAAAAAAATGGTCTCTGATCTTAAGGTCAGTGTATTATAAAGATAATTGTGTAAACATCACCTTTCGGGGCGCCTAGGTGGCTCAGGTCATGATCCCAGGGTCCTGGGATCAAGCCCCACATTGGGCTCCCTGCTCAGCAGAGAGTCTGCTTCTCCCTCTCCCTCTGCCTGCTGCTCCCCCTGCTTGTGCTCTCTATCTCTCTGTCAAATAAATAAATAAAATCTTAAAAAAAAAAAAAATAAACATCACCTTTCAGTGAGGTAGAGGTACAAGATGCTATGGGGGTATGAAGGAATGGTAAACCAGCTCAGCCTTTTCAGATGATGTGTTTGAGCTGAGTCTTAAAGGGTGAATGTTTTGCAATTAATTAGTAATAAAATATTTTGTTATGAATGGCTAATAGCATTTATTGAGTGCTCACAGGCACTGTGCTAACTACTTTTCATACATATGATCCTCAAAACATCCCTCTAAGGTATTGGTACTATCCCTAACTCCATGAGATTGAGAACACTGAGGCTTAGAGAAATTAAGAAAATTTTCCTAGATGACAGTAGAAGGTGGCTGAGCTAGGGTTTGGACCCCAGATTTTTCCAGTTCTAGAGTCTGTGTTGTTAACTGTTAACGTTATGTTGTACACAATCCATTCTGTCTAGAGAGGAAAATGGAAGAGTCCTCAGGAAGAGGCTATTTTTGCCCAGTTTTGAGGTATGAAAAAGGCAAGATGGGGAAAGGATATTCAAGGCAAAAGGAATAGCATTTGTAAAGGCATGGAGGTAATGAAGTAGTAGTTCCATGTGTCTGCAGTAGAATTTTAATGTGTGGTTAGAATCACTTGGATTAGATGTCAAAATGCAGATTCTGTGACCTCTTCTTCAGACTTACTGGATTAATATCTGGAGCTTTTTCATCAACAGCTCCCCAAATGATTCTAATGCAGATAGAATCATTTGGGAAGTTTGGGAACTGCTGGTGCAGTGCACAGGGTTGATATTGGAGAGAGGGCAGAAATGAGTCTGGAGAGGTAGTAGGCAGGAGTAGGAGTTTGCTTCATCATTATGAACTCTTAAGCTTTGTGTGCAACTTGCTTTTTCTGCTACTCATCAGGAGTGCTTTTATTTTTGACTATCTGATTCTAAGGTCAACCAGCTTTTGACAAAGAAATGCTTGTATATAGCTTCATTTTATTATGTGTATGCTTGCTGTAAAATTGGGAGTTTCTCAAAGTCCACTCCAGGAGCTACACTGGATAAACAGCATTGTGTATAATAGCATTATGTAATTTTGTTGCTGGATTTCTTAGATTCTTTCATATGCTAGTAAAGATGATATATATTGACAACTTCCAAGATGAGGTTTTCAAATACATCTTCTGGAACTGAGGTCCATTGAAACATATTTTTGAAATCTCCTGTAGAAATGTCTTCATGGCATTTAACTGTGTGACTTGGTATTGAATGTTTTACCAATTTATAATGGTAGGTTAGTATGCAAGTTCAACAGTTTTGTTTGACTCTTTTAATGGGTTAGGAAGAAACAAGTATCCTGAGTTTGGTTCTTTACAAGGGATTTCTATTTGACATTTATACACTTTGAAATTTACAAATTAATACTTGCTTTATGTCAGTTTTATTATTTACTTTATAACTCTTAAATGTTAATCATCTCTGGGTACGTGTATTGTGGCCCCGGTCCATGTGGAGTGTGGTTTCTGTTTGTATGCTGAGCCAAACAACCAGATCATTCCTTAATGGGTAACCAGTATTTATTTGTATCTACAATGTGAACGATTATAAGAGGGAGATGTGAGGCATTATAAACATTTTTAAAGATTCTAAAAAACCTCAGAGTGGTCAGTTTCTTTGACAGTTAACAATTAGGGAATTTTTTAAATTATTAAAAACATGGCATTTAAATGGCAGTTCCTACAATTGATTTGTTATACTCATATCTGACTTTTTAAAAAACTGTATTTTGGGTTTTTTAAGTTTGCAGTTTAAACTAATTGTTGAAACCAGCCTAAAAATTTTGAATATTCTGATAACTTTTAAGTGTAACTGTATGACTTCTAATACACTTTTCCTGAGTCCTGTGGTGTCACTGCCTAAGTGCATTCTTCAACTTGAGTCTGTTGACAAGCACTTTCTTAGTGTGCTTAGCAGTGATTTCTTACCTTTTTGTCTTCACCATATCACACATAATGAATAGATACCCAGTTTTTATGAAATTCCTCAAAAATTGATGAGAATTCCTAAGTTTCACAATCCTGACCATATGTAATGTCTTTGTCATGGTTGCTTGTTTTATTTATTTATTTTTAAAGATTTATTTATTTATTTGAGAGAGAGAGCAAGAGGCGGGAGGGAGAGGTGGGAGGGAGAGGGAGGAGAGTCCCCGCTGAGCAGGAGCTCGACAAGGGGCTGGATCCCAGGACCCTGGGATCATGACCTGAGCTGAAGGCAGACGCTTAACCTCCCAAGCCACCCAGGCGCACCATGGTTGCTTGTTTTAGAATGTATACACCATGTGTCTGGAAATCCAGGGTAGAATATAGCAGATAAGTTTTGGGATGACTGTCTAGTTCATGATATCTCTTCCTCTCTGGCAGTGGCTCCCAGTGCTCTGTCCGTGCTCTGGCTGTATAACCCAGTGAATACTGAGTCACGACATCTGATACTGCTCTGGCCATTTAGATCACCTGTCCTGGGAGTTTAAAATTTAGATCCTAGACACAGAAATTTAGCATGGTTAGAGTGAGTCATGGTATTGATAGTGCTCTAGTAGAAAGGTCCTTGAGTTCCCTTTTCTAAACTCTGAGCTGCCTTGGTTCCTACCCTTTCTGAGTCTTTAGTCATTCATTCCACTTTGATTCTGGGAATACTGTTCTTTTTTCTGAAGATAGCCAAAGATGGTTTCTGTTGTTTGCAGTAAAAGTAAATTGAGCCACACACGAACATGCTGTTAGAATTATGTTATGGGTGTGTCATGGACAGCATTCCAAAAGCCAGTTACAATTTTACCTTTTGCCTCCTGCTTTAGTTCCTCTGCTGGTGCCTGTATGTCCCACCTTCCCTCCTCAATAATCTTGTTAATTTTTTTAACTCTTTTATCACAAACTAGTTGCAAATACCTGTTGTCTACACACCTTTTATAGCTCAGTCTCATATAGATCACTTCCTGTTGGCTTTCAAAATAACATGCATACCTTCATGATAGTGCATATTAGTTTATGTTGTTATGATACATTTGTCTGGCTCATTAGAAAGCAGCTTCTTAGGATCAGGCATTGAGACATGTTCAGCCTTAACTCCCAGCACTTGCACATAGCTTGCTGAGTTAATTATTCTTCACTTTAAAGTATAGTTGGCCCTTGAACAATATGGGTTTGAACTGCGCAGGCCTACTTATTTGTGGATTTTTTCCCCCAATAAATACAGTACAGTACTGTAAATGTATTTTCTGTTATGATTTTCTTAATAGCACTTTTTTCTAGCTTACTTTATTGTAAGAATATAGTATATAATACATATAATATACAAAATCTGTGTTAGTTGACATGTTATGTTATTGGTAAGGCTTCCAGTCAACAGGAGGCTAATTAGTAGTGTAAGTTTTTGGGAAGTCAGTAGTTATACATGATTTTCAACTGTGTGGGGGGGGTCAGTGCCCCTAAAGATTCCACCCCCCCTAATGTTGTTGAAGGGTCAACTAGTGTCCCTAAAACTTAAACTTTTGTTCCAGGCTTATTAGATGTATGACTGAGACTGCTCTAAGCCTCAGTTTTGTTATCATGAAAAGTACTGTTATGAGGAGTAAATGAACTAACAGGAGAGAGCCTAACGGCATTGGGCTCTTAATAGGTACTCCGTACATGTGAGCTATCCCTCTCCTTGTTTGTTTAGATTTGCCTGGGAGAATGTGTCCCGTATATCATTTGGCCTTACAGTTTCATAGTTCTTTTCCTTAAAATAACTTTAACTTTATAAAACCCAAGAATGTTTCTTTTAAAAAGAACTTGGGTACTTGTTTGCTTGTATTTCTTTGAACAATATATTTAGGAGCTAGAATTATGTGAGAACATTATAGAGTTTTGTTTTTGTTTTAAGTCCAGCTCTTCAAGTTATGTCTCCTATATAATAATCTGGGGGTATACTTTACAGATTTGTTTTGGTGAAGATCGGTTATCTTTTCCCATTTTGGAATCCAAACCATGTTAGCCGTTTTACAGGTAGATGATCTTTTTTAAAGTGGCATGTTTCATATAAGTATAAAACAACAATTTTATATTGAAGTGTGCATATTCCTACATTTAAAAAAATTGTTGAGAAATTTTAACATTTCACTACCAAAAATTTTTGCACTTTCCTAATTTTTTCACCCTTGATTTTTCAGAATGAACCTAGTGATCGAGAGGATGGCCTCAACAAAAGGCACCATGTGACAGATTCTGAGAATGATGACCCCTCAAATCTTAATGCCAGTGACTCTGAAAGTGAGGAGCTTCAAAGGCAGAAGGACAGTGACTCTGAATCTGAAGAGCACGCAGGGCCTCCTGCAAGTGATTCTGAAAATGAGGACACTAATCAGCATGGGAGCGACTCTGAGAGTGAGGAGACCAGGAAGTTACCTGCCAGTGACTCTGAAAATGAGGAACTTCTTAATGGGCATGCAAGTGACTCAGAAAATGAAGACGTTAGAAAGCATCCTGCCAGTGATTCAGAAATGGAAGAGCTCCCTAAAAGTCCTGCCAGTGACTCTGAAACAGAGGATGCTCTAAAACCTCAAATCAGTGACTCTGAAAGTGAGGAACCTCCACGGCACCAAGCCAGTGATTCTGAAAACGAGGAGCTTCCCAAACCTCGAATTAGTGATTCTGAAAGTGAGGAGCTTCCTAAGCCTCGGGTCAGTGACTCGGAAAGTGAGGAGCCTCAGAGGACTCAGGCCAGTGACTCAGAAAATGAGGAGCTTCCCAAACCCCGTATCAGTGACTCAGAAAGTGAGGACCCGCCAAGGCACCAAGCCAGTGACTCAGAAAATGAGGAGCTTCCCAAACCCCGTATCAGTGACTCAGAAAGTGAGGGTCCCCCAAGGCATCAAGCCAGTGACTCAGAAAATGAGGAGCTTCCCAAACCCCAGATTAGCGATTCGGAAAATGAGGACCCCCCAAGGAACCAGGCCAGTGATTCAGAAAATGAGGAGCTTCCCAAGCCCCGAGTCAGTGACTCTGAGAGTGAGGAGCCTCAGAAGGGACCTGCCAGTGATTCTGAAACTGAGGATGCCTCCAGACACAAACAGAAGCCAGAGTCAGATGATGACAGTGATGGGGAGAATAAGGGAGAGGATACAGAAATGCAAAATGACTCCTTTCATTCAGATAGCCATGTAGACAGAAAAAGGATCCAGAGTTCTGACAGCGAGGAAGAAGAACCCAAAAGGCCAAAAACTGACAGTGATGAAGATGATGAAAAGGTGGGGGAGGAGGAGAAAGTAGCGAAGCGAAAAGCTGCTGTCCTTTCTGATAGTGAAGATGAAGAGAAAGCATGTAAGGCATTGTTTTGGACTGTTTATGCGTATTTTTAATTATTGTCTAAGCTTGTAACTGTGAAGCACTGTGTTTCTGAAATGTTAGATCTATATTCTCTTTATTCAACTTGATCTTCTAAAATATTACCAGGACACTAGTTCTGCTTTGTTTTCAGTGGCTGATCTTAGTATTAAATTTGCTTTGATTTGTTCTAGGAGTATTAAGATCTGACTAGTTCAAAATAGTAAACTAATGGGAGTTTCATTGGGAATATGAAAGATTTAGTTTTTTGTGGGAGAAGGGTAATATTTCAAAGAAATATGTTTACATGAAAACCCAGCTGTATCCAGAGTTAGCTGCAGGTGTGACAGTTAGTGCAGTAGTTTCCATCTAGATAGTGACTACGTTCCCAAGTCTTTTTGGGTACCTATCTTTTGTGAAACATGGTTGAATACCCAAATACGATGAAGTTTGTGAGGGGGACTGTATTTAGAGACTCTGTCTCTGTAGCATGTTCTAGTCTTTGTTACCTGGGACCCTGTTTTCATGGATAATAATTTTTTTTTTTTAAAGATTTTTATTTATTTATTATTGAGAGAGAGAGAATGATAGAGAGAGAGCATGAGAGGGAGGAGGGTCAGAGGGAGAAGCAGGCTCCCTGCTGAGCAGGGAGCCCGATGCGGGACTTGATCCTGGGACTCCAGGATCATGACCTGAGCTGAAGGCAGTCGCTTAACCAACTGAGCCACCCAGGCGCCCCATGGATAATAATTTTTACTTGTTTAGTTTTTTATGAAACTTCCTTGGTAGGGTGGGGAGACCTATTCCCTTATAACCTGACAGTTGTTACAGAAGAAGGAAAAAGACCATCACACATGTGCCATCCAGTTTACTAAGAGAGATAAGAAATTCCAAACTGACCAGCAGTGATGGGGGAGTATGGGGATTCCACAAAAGTGTATCTAAGCCTTTTCAGTTCTGCTAATACTCGGCAGAATAGAAGGGACTCTAATTCTGTACATCAGTGTAGTCTTATTTTCTCCATTCCACCAAAGGAGAGGTAGCTCTTGGTGTCCATTTTTAATATGATTTTGTTCTTCAACTTCTAGTCACTTTTTCCTAAACAATAACATAATTATAAGATGACTCTGAACCTTTTAGTTACTATTATTTTTTTAATAAAGTTTTTATTTAAGTAATCTCTATACCCAGTATGGGGCTCAAACTCACGACCTGGAGATCAAGAGTCACATGGTCTGATTGAGACAGCCAGGTGCCCCTGGTTATTTATTTTTAATTATTCTAAGCTGTGTGTTAGGAGCCCTTTGATTTTTGCCGAGTATTGCCATTTTAAAGCATCTGTTTCTCTTAGTAATATCATGACCGTGATGAATAAGATTAATGATATTTTGCACCTTTTTTGACAGCAGCAAAGAAGAGTCGTGTTGTCTCTGATGCAGATGACTCTGACAGTGATGTTATATCAGACAAATCAGGCAAAAGAGAGAAGACTCTAGCATCTGACAGTGAAGAAGAAGTAGGGAAAGAAGAGTTGTCTGATAAGAAAAATGAAGAGAAGGATCTGTTTGGGAGTGATAGTGAGTCGGGGAATGAAGAAGAGTAAGTGACAGTATAACATGAGTTTTCAAGGGTTCATATGAGGTGGTAGAGAGGGGTTTGTCTTTTAAGTTTCTTAAACTTGTATTAAAATTTCGTAATGAGAGGTAATACCTGCCTATTTGCATGATTTTGGGGGATTCAGGAATCCTGAACTATTGCTGCACACTATAACATAGATGAATCTCAACAGTGTTAAGTGAAAGAAGTGAAGAGGACGTGTCTGAGTCTACTGATGTGAGGTTCAGGAGTAGGCAAAGTTAATCTGCAGTGATGGAAATCAGAATGGTGGTTGGCTCTAGGATGTTCCTGTAGGGGACTGACTAGAAAGGGCCACAACTGAACTCTCTGGGGAGATCAAATTGTTCTGTATTTTGATTAGGGTAATGGTTACATTACCTTTTCTCAAAAAGGTACTTTTCTCAAAACCCACTGAAATGGATGCTTAAGATCTGCACATTTTACTATACGTAAATTGTACCTTATTAGAAAAAGATTTTATAGTTCCTGTGCAAATGAGAAGAAAGCAAATGATTTCCTTCTCTTCTAGAAATCTTATTGCAGACATATTTGGAGAATCTGGTGATGAAGAGGAAGAAGAATTTACAGTAAGTATAAGGGAGATATTTCCTCTTTGACTGTGCTTTTTTGTTTCTGTGGCAGTGGTTCCCAAATAGGTAATTCCAATAAGTAGAAATAAACAATTGTAATGTATTCAGTAGAAAAATCTAGAAGAGAGGATTCAGAAAATGAAATAAAAGTGTGTACAAAGGCATAAAAGGCAAAATTGAATTAAGTGGGGGGACATATTAAGAAATGATGGAAGGTACATTATAATGCTAAAGGGAAAGATTCACAATACTTACGAAACTTTTAATTCTAGCAATGGCAGGCTAGGTGATTTGGACCAACCCTTCTGCTAACGACAACTAGAAAAGCCAGGCAAAGGTTTAAAAATCTCATCAGCAGAGGAACAAGGTAGCAAAGAATGACTAAGCCAAACCCCAGCAACAGACAGATATCTAAAGAGGTGAGCTCAGCATTTAGAACTGCTTTTTCTGGAATGTTTGCCTGTTTAGGCTGAGAGGCTGGTCATATTTTTGACAGCCTCAGGGCTCAAGAGACAAAATTTGAAGGTCAGAGCCTGCTGAGGTTAGGAGACCCTGAAAACCTAATGCTCTGATTTAGGACTCCTTGGATTAAGGATGACGTGGAAGTGATAATAGTCTCTGCTCAGATTTTAGGCCAGTTTTGAGTCTTCTTTTTTTTTTTTTTTTTTTTAAAGATTTTATTTATTTATTTGAGAGAGAGAGAATGAGAGACAGAGAGCATGAGAGGGAGGAGGGTCAGAGGGAGAAGCAGACTCCCTGCCGAGCAGGGAGCCCGATGCAGGACTTGATCCTGGGACTCCAGGATCATGACCTGAGCCGAAGGCAGTCGCTTAACCAGCTGAGCCACCCAGGCGCCCCAGTTTTGAGTCTTCTAACAACACAGAGAACCTCAGTCCCAGAGATTCGATCACAGTGTCTCTTAACTCATTGGCTAGTGCTCTCAGGCACTTGGAGTATGCAAACAAATCCCTTTAGGACAAAGGTTATCACAGGCCTCAGATTATTTCTGTAGTTTATCAGATACACAGTGTGGTACACAATCATAGATAATGTTAAAAAGAAACAATAGTGACAACAGATAATAGAAACAGACCTAGAGGTTCTAGATACAGTAATTTTAGTTATTTCCTTAAAAAACAAAACTGTTCAGGGAGATGAAAGATGAGAAATTTTGTCAGAGCAAACAATTTTCTTTTTTTTAATTAAAAAAAATTTTTTTTTAAGATTTTATTTTTAAGTAATCTCTATACCCAGCATGGGGCTTGAACTCACAACCCTGAGATCAGGAGTTGCATGGTCTACCAGCTGAGCCAGGCAGGCGCCCCAGAGCAAACAATTTTTAAAAAGGTAGATTTGGGAGAGAACCAAGTAGAAATTCTGGAACTGTAAAATTATAGTAACAAATTAAAAATTTGGTGGGTGAGTTTAACAACAGATTAGATTCATTTGAAAAGAAAATGAGTGAACTGGAAGATAGGTTAGAAGGAGCTATTTAGAATGAAGAATTGAGATATGTAAAAATAAAATACAAATTATACATGAGAAGGTTTAACATAGTGAATTGGAATCTCGGGAGAGGGAAAAATATATGTAGCAGAAGCATTTAAAGAAATGATATGTAAAGCGAGAGTTTCTAGAAGTTGTACAAATTATAAGCAGGATAAATGCAATGATACAGTGAAAATCTGTACCTAAATACATCATAGTAAAATTGCAAGAAGCCAGAGAAGACAGGGAAATCTTAAAAGTAGGCAGGGGGGGAAATATTACATTCAGAGAGGCAAAATCAGATTAACAGCTGACTTCTAAACAGAAACCGTAGAATCCAGTAACTGCAAACTTAGTGTTCTGTTCCATTCAGCAAAAATACTTGTCAAGGGCGCCTGGGTGGCTCAGTTGGTTAAGCGACTGCCTTCGGCTCAGGTCATGATCCTGGAGTCTCGGGATCGAGTCCCGCATCGGGCTCCCTGCTCGGCAGGGAGTCTGCTTCTCCCTCTGACCCTCCTCCCTCTCATGCTCTCTGTCTCTCATTCTCTCTCTCGCAAATAAATAAAATCTTTAAAAAAAAAAAAAAATACTTGTCAAGAATGAAGATTTCCTCCTAATTCATGTTACCAATATACCAGTTGATAGTCTTAAAGGCAGAAAGAAAATCTCAGGTAGAAAATCAGGGATTTAGGAAGAAAAAAGCAACAGAAGTAATGTGGGTAAGTCTAAATGAGTATTGATGCTACAAAAAAAGTCATGTCTGGTGTGGATTGAAATACATATAGAATTAAAACATGACAGCAGTAATAAATTGGGAGTACACATGGTCTTTGCAAATGTGTGTAAAAGGACATTAGTAGACTTTGCATTGTAATCTCTACAGTGGCCACTGAAAAGACAATGGGAATATGTAGCCTGCAACCAGTCGAGGGGGAAAAGCAGAATAATAAAAGCTATTAATCCAAAAAAAAAGGGGGGGGTGGTGCCTGAGTGGCTCAGTCGTTAAGTGTCTGCCTTCAGCTCAGGTCATGGTCCCAAGGTCCTAGGATTGAGTCCCGTGTCTGGCTCCCTGTTCAGTGGGAATCCTGCTTCTCCCTCTCACTCTCCCCCCATTTGTGTTCCCTCTCGCTGTCTCTGTCTCTGTCAAATAAATAAATAAAATCTTTAAAAAATAAATAAATAAAAGCTATCAGTCCAAAAGAAGGCAAGAGAAAAAGAAAGAGGTATAGAACAGGAATAATTAGAAAGTAGTATATGGTAAGATAGCAGATTTAAGCTTTGATAATATCTCAGATTACATTAAATTGAAATGTATCAAGTGCTCTAATTAAAGGACAAAGATGGTCAGATTGGATTTTAAAATGTAACTGTTTACTCATTTCATGATTCATCTGAAAGAAGATAAAAGGTGAAAATAAAAGGATGGAAAAAGATACTATGTATGAACAGTAATCAAAAAACGGGCACAGCTATATGAATATGAGACTTTGAGGCAGAAAAACATTTGAGATAAAGAGGGTCACTTAAGGGGTGCTTGGGTGGCACAGTTGGTTAAGCATCCGACTCTTGGTTTCGGCTCAGGTTATGATCTCAGGATCATGAGATCGGGCCCCCCCTCAGGCTCTGTGCTCAGCGCAGAGTCTGCTTGAGATTCTCTTTCTCGCAAATAAATAAATATTTTTTAAAAAAGAGGGTCACTTTATATTGATAAAAAGGTTTTAGAATTGTATATATATACTAATGTGGCTGAAATACATATATACAAACAAAAATTGACAGAACTGCAAAGAGAAATGGACAAATCTATTATCTGAGTGGAAGGTAACCAATAGAACAAGCAGACCAAAAAGCCACAGAAGAGTCTCTTTATGTAATCTGGAAACAAATGCAAATAAGAATACAAAAGAAAAGATTGGGGATTATAAAAGTTAAAATTATTTTCTGTTCTTTGGCTTTCCTTTTCACTTTCTTAATGGAGTCTTGTGATGAACAAAAGTTTTAAATTTCACTATAAATCAACTTTATCCACCTTTTCCTTTATGGTGAAACTTTTTGAATTCCCACAAATTTTTGCTTATTCCTAAGGTCATAAAGATACTCTCTTGAATGATCCTCTAGAAGCTTATTTCACATTTAGTTGTACAATCCCCCTGTAATGGGTATGTATGAGATAGCAGTCAAGGGGTTCCTAGTTGGCTCAGTTGGTGGAGCATGCAACTCTTGATCTTGGGACTGTAAGTTCGAGCCCCACGTTGGGTATATAGAGCTATTTAAAATTAAAATGTTTAAAAAAAATTTTTCCCCCATTTGGAATATCCGGTTCACCCAGGTCATCCTTTCTTGCTCCTCTCTAGTGCCATCTTTGTCATAAATGAGGTGTCTATGTAATTTCCAGTCTGTTTTAGCAGTTTCTTGTCTGTTCTTTTAGTCTCTTTATCCTTGCAGTATTAATACAGAACTGTGGATATTTGGTGGTTTATGTCCTCTAAGCTTGTTATTCCTCAAGATTGCTTTGGCTTTCTTTTTTTGCATTCCCATATAAATTTTAAACCAAGCTTTTGCCAAAATTACAAAGTATAAACAACATTTTCTGAATGCAGAGCAGTGAAATTAGAAATTCATTACAAAATCAGCAAAATATCCTCGCCACCCAGAAATTTAAGACTTCCTTGTCAGACAGTTATTGCATTGAAAAAGAAATAGTACTTTAATTACTAAAGAGAGTGAAACTAGTGAATTTAGATGCTGATTCAAGATGGTAGAAAAATAACAAAGTGAACCTCAGGAAAATAGGAGTAATAGGAATAACTCATTCAACAAATATTTGGGAGCCTGTATGCCAGAGATTGTTTGGACGTTGCCCTCATGGAGTTCATACTCAGTTCAGCAGCATTTTTACAAGAATAAAATGTGTTTCTCTAGAGAGTTAACATCAGCTTGATTATAGGTTTAGTTCAGTGAGAAAAACGACATACTAGGTGAGCTATTGGAATGATCTAAGTACAACATGGAAGAAGCTATAAAGAAAAGACTGACCATTTTTTTTTTTTTTTAAGATTTTATTTATTTATTTGGCAGACACAGTGAGAGAGGGAACACAAGCCGGGGGAGTGGGAGAGGGACAAGCAGCCTTCCCGAGGAGCAGGGAGCCCGATGCGGTGCTCGATCCCAGGACTCTGGGATCATGACCCGAGCCGAAGGCAGATGCTTAACGACTGAGCCACCCAGGCACCCCAAGAGTGACCATTTTAATTACATAAAAATAAAAAATTATGCGGAAAACATTACCGTAAACAAAATGAAACTGTACATATGTGAGGACTGTGCAGTCCCTGTCACAAAGGGCTAATTTTCCAGAGTTTAAAGGAGACTTTCCATACCAATAAGACAAAGATCCAACAGGAAAATGGACATAGGATATTGGGAGTTCCATAGAGAAAGAATTAAAAATGACCTTTAAACATGAACAAAATACCCACCCTTACTCTTAAGAGAATATAAAGAAAAATGCCTTTTAGTTTTCGGTCCAGAGATTGGCAAATATCAATGTTTGATAACTTGTAGTAGTGAGAAGTTGGAGAAACAGGTGTACTTATGCTTTGCTGGAAAGAGAATTAATTAGTATAACCTCTATGAAAAGTTTAGCAAATATTTCACAAAATTTCAAATATGTATACCTAAATGTCAGTGGCAAAATAAACAAATTATGGTTGCAGTCCTAGTGTGAAATAGTCTAAAGCCTTAAAATGAATGAGGATTCTTTATGCCAATATGAATTGATCTCCATATTCTGTTGTTAAATGTGGAAAGTGCAGACCAGTATATACTGTACCCAGTGTATAGAATATGCTGTCATTTGTATAATGAAAGGGGAAAAGAAATACATATGTGTAGAAATGTGTGTAAATGTAGGCTATTTCTAGAAGGAGACATAAGAAAACTAGTAACACTAGTGGCCTGGTGGGAGGGAGCTTTTTTGCTGTATACCTTTTGATACCTATTTAATTTTTGTTCTTTGTGAATGTATTACTTTAAAAATGCAAAAAAAAAAAAAAAAAAATTAAGAGCAGTTATACCGAAGAAAATCTGTAAGGAAGTTGCGATAACCCTGGCAAATTTACCTGGCCTGTAGGGTTTTAACCAAGAAGATTTAGAAGAAGAAAAAAGTGAAACACAGGTAAAAGAAGCAGAAGATTCAGATTCTGATGATAACATAAAGAGAGGAAAACAGTAAGTTTGCTTTATTTTTTAAAAAGGAATTTGTTAAAAACTGAGGGTTGCTGGAGGGGAGGGGGTGGAGGGATGGGGTAACTGGGTGATGGGCATTAAGGAGGGCATGTGATGTAATGAGCACTGGGTATTATATAAGACTGATGAATCACTAAACTCTACTTCTGAAACTAATAATATATGTTAATTAATTGAATTTAAATTAAAAAATTTTAAAGATCATAAAAGAATTTGTTAAAGAGTACTTTAAAAATGAAGGTAGAGACTATCAAACTTTGTTTTTACTTATTTTGGTTCCTTACTAAGTGTAGCAAAGACTCTTTTCCTTTTTTCTCCTTTCTACTTCTCTATAGTAGAGTATAGTATTTTCTGTCTGAAAATATATTCACTCTTACTATTTTTCATTCATTTGCCCTGTGCTCAGCTTCTTAATTTGTGGGGTTCTATGGTGTTACCCTCACTGAGTAAGCTCTTCTTGAGTTACTGAAAAATAACATAAAAATACATTTTTTGAGAGAAAAGTTGACTTTGGGGTCCCAGGGACAATGAGGCAGAGTTCTAACTACAAAATATTACTTGACTGAATTTCACATACTTTTGTTGAGATGATTGGAAGCTGTGTTCAGAGAAGTCTGGTATCTGCAAAGGTGCCAAGTTGTAAGTATTTGCACTTGGGAAGAAAGTAGCATTTCGTGGAGTTAGAATTAAGAAAGTGGGTGGTTCTTAACAGTGACAAAAGGAAATACGTATTTAAAAGGGAATTTGTATTTCACTTGATTTTGTGTTGCTGCTTAGTATGGACTTTCTGTCGGATTTTGAGATGATGCTGCAGCGGAAAAAGAGCATGAGTGGCAAGCGCAGGCGTAACCGTGATGGTGGCACTTTTATTAGTGACGCTGACGATGTAGTGAGTGCCATGATTGTCAAGATGAATGAAGCTGCTGAGGTGAGACGAGTCACTGGTTGCTTCCTCTTTTCTTTCCTTACTTAATTGGTTGTGTGGCCTTTTAAAGGAAGGGAAAGGAAAAGTATCTGGAGACATAGCTGAAATAAGACTGGTCATGGGTGTTTAATTGTGGAAATGTATGTGATAGGAGTATATTAGTTTGTTTTCTGTCTTGGTAGAATTTGACATTTTCTATAATTAAAGTAGGAAAAAGCACCCAAGTAAATATTGAAACTCTTCTTTAGTAACAATAACATTGTTCCTCTAAATTAGTAATTTTTTAAGCTAATCTAATAGTTTTGTGGGTTTGATTAACACACAGAATTTGGGGTTCTACAAAAAGTTCATTTTTGGTTATCCTTTCTTATAGAAAAAATTGTTACTCAGGGACACTGCTGCTTTAGTGGTTACAATTCATTATTAACAATAAGTATTGCTTTTTTTAAAAAATCTTTTTCTTCCTGGGTAGGAAGACAGACAGTTGAACAATCAAAAAAAGCCAGCACTGAAAAAATTAACATTATTACCTACTGTGGTCATGCACCTTAAGAAGTAAGTATTCTGTTTCCTTGAAAAAGTTTTTTCCTTTTAATAGAATAATATTCAAACTATATACTGGTGTTCTAGAGATGTCATGTAATGACTGCTATCAGTTCACAGAAAAATAATAATAGAATTTCCTAAATTACGTTACTTCCTCACAAATTTTTCTTTTTATTAAATTAAATTAATTTTTTTTTTTTTAAGAGGTGGGTGAGGGGCAGAGGGAGAGAGAATCTTAAGCAGGCTCCATGCCCAGCTTGGAGCCCGATGCAGGGCTTGATCTCACAACCCTGAGATTATGACCTGAGCTGAAATCAAGAGTTGGTGCTTAACCGACTGAGCCACCCAGGTGCCCCCTCACAAATTTTTCTTAAACTTTGATGCCTGTTACAAACAACAAAACAAATAGCAAACTGACACTAAGGAAAGAAAAGTATGTAAACCACTAATTTAGTTATCGACTCTTGAGTCTAGTAAAATTGCATCTCTTTTCCCAGTGTGATTGAGCACTAGAGCAAATTCTGGGGGGACTACTTGAAGCATGTATTGTAGGAGGCTTATATGACCAGTTATATCATGAAGTATGTCACTGGTCTTCTGGGATAAGGACCCTTTTTTGATAGATCTTGATAGCTCTTTCATTGGTTTACTCATATTGCTGAGCAACTGATTTCTCCTTGAACCTAACCAAGTTAGGTATCCTGCAAAGAATAGCACAATTCTGGGTTCTCTCTCACCTAAGCCAGTTTGAGAATCTCTATTCTGAGAGATTAAAGATTACTTTTTTTAGTTGTAATAATTGGAGCTCTTTATTCTTACTGTCTGTACCATTCATATCAGCATTAGCCTATCTTGTATAATTCAAGTTTTTAACAAATGATCTTTGCCTGTCAAATCTGTTTATTTTTTTTTTTAAGAAGGAACTAAATTTTATATTGCTTTTGAAACATGAATAGGTACTCAGTAAATAATGTATATGAGTAACTTGAGAAGCAGTTTTTGGAAATACCACTAAATATGTAAGAAAATCCAGAGGAAGCTATGGTAGAACCAAGGTTCATAGACTTGACTTTTTTTTTTTTTTTAATTAACTATAGACAGGACCTTAAAGAAACATTTATCGACAGTGGTGTGATGTCTGCCATCAAAGAATGGCTCTCCCCTCTACCGGATAGGAGTTTGCCAGCATTAAAGATTCGAGAGGAGCTGTTGAAGATTCTGCAAGAGGTTAGAGGCAAATAGTCTGAGTATATGTTCTTCATTAATTATCTGATGTGGTTTGTATCATCACAGCCTCTGTGTCACCATGTACGTACACATTCTCTCTGCTGTAGTCTGCCAGAAGAGGGGTTTCATTATGTATGTCTATTAGAAACATACCAAATAAAATGAACATAAAAAGGAAGGCCTTATAAAATTTCATGTAACTATAGTATTGAAGGAAAAAGATCTTGGAGTTACTATTATTTATCTGAGATGAAGCATACAGCAGTGGACATGTTTTAGGGAGGCACTTGAAGTAGAAAAGGCACCAACTTCAGATTCAGATAAACTTGATTGTGAATCTTGAGCTGGGCCACCTTTATGTGGCTGTGACACCTTGGGCAGGCTACTTAACTTCTGAAGGAATTCCCAAGAAACTTCCTGTGTGCTAGGTGTTTATACATGTATTGCTTCATTTATTCCTCACAACAAACCTGCAGGGTAGGTGTATTGTTTTCATTCTACAGATGAGGAAATGAAGACTCAGAGAAGTTAAATGACTTGTCCAAGGTCACATACCTAGCAGATGGCTATGCTTGGGTTCAGATTTAGGTCTATTTGATTCAGAGGCCTGTATTGATGCTTGTATTAAACTGCTAACCTCTGAGTATGGTTAGTTTACACTTTACACATTGTTAAGTTTTACTTTGACTCGGTGTAATACTGAACTCTCAACTCTTGGTGTGAACACAGAGTATCTTTGTGTTCAATGTCTGCAGATCCTGAAAATGGAATTTTCATTATTCTATTGTGAAAGAACCAGGTGTTGGAGGTCCTCTAGAATAGATTGGCAGGACTCCCAGCTTTTCAGTGATTAATGTGTATGTATGTGTTTGTGTTCCCCAGCTACCTAGTGTGAGCCAGGAGACCCTGAAGCATAGTGGGATTGGACGAGCAGTGATGTATCTCTATAAACACCCCAAGGAATCAAGGTCCAACAAGGATATGGCAGGGAAATTAATCAGTATGTACATTTTGCTTTTTGTTTATTGTGTTTGTGTATATCAGAAAGACATGTATGTATAAAAACAAACTATATTTTTACCAATATTCATTTAAAATGAGTTCATGAAGTAGAATAGAAATTTTTTTTGGCAATTTCTTGTGGGTACCAGCTTTTTTAGCCTTAGACTTAAAGTGTTCCTCAGCATATTTAAGTATGCTATCAGTATTAAGGTTAGCAAGTGAAAAGTTTTCTAATCCTGGATCAAGAGCATGTACAGAGACGGGGTTAGTGTACAGGCCCTAGAGTCAGTCATACCTGGGTTCGAATCCTGAATTCACCACCTACCCTACTGCTTATCTTTAGGCAAGTGATTTAAGCTCTAAGCCTTGGTTTCCTCCTCTGTAAAATAATGATGTGTTCACTTTGAATTGTAAAGATTAAGTGAGAGGATATATGTAAAGCACAGGGCCTAGCACATAGTAAGGCCTCAAGAAATGTTAGCCGCTAGTGCTATTGTTGTTACTTTTATAGTGGTCTCCAGAGTGTTCTGCATGTTCTTACTTAATGATAACCGAGAAATCCAGGAGTCTAACTGGAATTAATTTAATCAATTACTGTATCATTTATGAAATCCTTTAGTTTTAAGAATGAAAACAATGTATGTTTTCGTCATTCTTAATTCTTCCTGTGTTCCATGTTGCAGAGGAATTTTTTAAACTTCAAGGGTATATCAAAAAATACTCCTATATGTGAATACAGTAATTATTTTTCTACTGATTTTTGAGATTATCAAAATTTTTTAGAGAAATTTATTTTTTTTATGAACCAGAGAAGTATTAACGTTTTTGATCTTGTTAATCTGCAGTGCGCTATTATATGATAAACTTCTAATGCTTTTATGCAGTGGTTCTCAACTCTCATTTTGCGCTAATCTGAGAGAGGCAGAATATTCCCACCAATACCCATGACTTACTGTAACAGTAATTCTGAATCTAATAGTGGGGTCGGTAGACTATATGTGTAAAGATACATAGACTCCCTGAGACTCCCTGCTTCCTTATTTGATAACACCTAATATTCTGTCTGTGAAGGTTCTTGCTTGTTTTGATGGTGTATTAAATGCAGCAGTAAGCTACATTATGTTTGAGAACAAAAACATCAGTTGTCAGCCATGGACTTTTACTGACTAAACAGTGGGCATGTTGTACTTTGGTTCATGGTCACATCACTGTAGCAGCTTCCTTAGACTTAATGAAATCTAGACTCTGCGCTGCACTGTTAAAATGCAATTCTTGAAGATTTAGACCATTTGACAAGAAATAAGCGAGCTTGTTTTTGGGTAGAATAGGAAGCTAGAAGAAGTTCAAGATTTTCTGTTTTCAGTAGAGTAAATTTACAAATTAGGCTGTCTATGAAATACCAACACAGTTAGCTGATGACTGTCAAAGTGAGTCAGATACTACTTTCTTTAAACCTCTGTGATTAAGGCTTAAGTGACTTTAAGACACTGAATTTTCTGAATCAGCTGAAGATGGTTATGATACTGGTATTACATGCTGTGTTTATCCTAAAATGGTCCTGAAATAATGGTATCTTTAGGGAAAGTATATTCTAAATGCCTGGAATATTACATCACACTAGGGTGTGATTATTTCAGAGAACGGTAGCAGAAATGCTACTTTCTAGTCTAAACAATTGATTTTTCCTTGTTACAGATGAATGGTCTCGGCCTATATTTGGTCTTACTTCAAACTACAAAGGTATGACAAGAGAAGAAAGAGAGCAGAGAGATCTAGAACAAATGCCTCAACGACGGAGAATGAACAGGTATGAGGAGTAAATATTGTTCTCATAACTCAGTTGTTTTGTAAATAAAGTCATTAAGAATCCTGCAAAGCGGGGCGCCTGGGTGGCTCGGTCGTTAAGTGTCTGCCTCCGGCTCAGGTCATGGTCCCAGGGTCCTGGGAACAAGCCCCACATCGGACTCCCTGCTAGGCGGGAGGCCTGCTTCTCCCTCTCCCTCTCCCCATACTTGTGTTCCCTCTCTCGCTGTGTCTCTCTCTGTCAAATACATAAATAAAATCTTAAAAAAAAAAAAAAAAGAATCCTGCAAAGTGATAGGATTTTGTCTTTTCTCTCAGCTTGGTATGTCTGTGTATTCATACCTTTTTAGTTTAAATGTGGTACTGTACAGTGAAGGCCCACACTCCCTTCTTTTTTGGTTTGATCTGGCGGATTGTGGTCTCTGCCACAGTTTCAGAGGTTGCTTGTGTTGTTCCAGCCAGTTGCAAGAAAAACTTTCTCAGGCCCATTTTCAGATTCTTAGGAGAAAAAAGATTGTTGCTGGTTGTTTGTATCAGCAAACCGGATACAGTTGCATCCAGGTTGGCAGGGTTATAAGTTACAAAAATGGCAGTTACTGCTCACCCATGATGAAACCTGGTATGCAAACAATCATTAAAAGAAGTCATACTTCTACAAGATTTGGAGTAATTTTCCCAGATTCAGTGTAAAGGACCTAGTTGTGGTCCAAGTTTGATATTTCGCTTCTCTCTTTTTTTTTTCTTAGTTATAAGGTTCTAACGTTCCTGGTAATTGATTACTTTTTTCACAGCACTGGCGGTCAGACACCCCGAAGAGACCTGGAAAAGGTGCTAACAGGAGAAGAGAAGTAAGATTTTTTTATTAATTGTTCTAATTCTTAGACTTCAAATAGAAAATCTTCTGCTTGCTGCTTTAAGAAAAATGGCAAATGAAACAATGTTATGTTTATGTTGGTGGGGGATGGTTTTTAGTTTAACATTTAGTGAATATCCACAAATAAGGTGGTGCTCTGGAGGATATAAGATTTAGAAATAGTTCCTTCAGTAAAGATTGAGATGGTGGAAGATGAGTTTGAGAATATAGATGTGGGCTAGATTTTGAACGGCTTTAAATCAAGATGAGGAATTGTCACTTCTCTTTGTGATTCCGTGGAAAGTGGACATAGATGTGAAGTTCCAGATTTATTTGGAACACTGGTGCTGGTGGCATTGTGGTGTAGGGTGGGTTAGAGTGCAGAGGAGCTGAAGGTAGTGAAACTGAGGTGGTAATGGGGAAGCGGAAGGTTAGGAGACTTAGCAGGAGCAAAATTGCCAAGAGTTGGTGACTCCGTGGGCGAGGAGTTTGGCTAACGTTGAAGACACCAATCAAAATTTTACCCCAAGTAACCAAGACAGTGGTATTACCATTTGCTCAAGTGGAGAGGAAGAGTAGATTTTTTGGACATAGGTGCATTCTGCTTTGGGCATTAGTAAATGTGAGATGCCTAATGAAATAGTCCTATAAATATCATGGGTCTAAAACTTGGATTTGGGGCTAGAGACATAATAGATTTGATAGTTATCTCCACAGAAACCATTATGGAATCGAGAAAGTATAGAGTAAGAAATAAACCACACCACTGGGTGTAACCAGTGAAGGTAAGTGAGTGGGTATTGTCCTGCATGTTGGAGGAGACCCTAGAGAATGAGGCCATGCTGGAGAGGGGCAGTGGCAAAGGGCATGGGCCATTGCAGAGGCTACAGAGGAGTTTGTGCAGTGAGTGTTGGCAGTCAGGCAGCACCCAGATTGCAAGAGAGAGGGAGAGGAGCTAGAGGGCGCCAGTGTTGTTGGTTTATGGATAGGTTTGATGATGGGACAGGTGGCAACTTTAGGGGAGAATAAGTTACGAGAATTTTCTTTGGCTAGCCACTTAATTTATTCATGTATTTGAAGCTTATAGAAACTTGATATTAAGAATAGATTAAACTCGGGTGCCTGGGTGGCTCAATCAGTTAAGTGTCTGACTCTAGATTTTGGCTCAGGTCATGATCTCAGGGTTGTGAGATCGGGCTGTGCACCGGGGGTGGAGCCTGCTAAAGATTCCCCCCTCTCCCCTCCCAACTCCCTCGCTCTCTGTCACGCTGTCTCTCTCTTAAAAAAAGATTGTACTCTGTACAAGGGAATAAAAATTATTTAGAATTTTTTATCCTTCTCTCCCACTCCAGCCTTCCCCCACACAGACACACGTATACCCACTCTTCATTTACTGGTAGGGTGAATAGTTACCTAAAGGTTGAGTGATTGGAATACCCAGACATTTACAAATAGGCTTTACTTTTAAAGGATGCTAGTCTTAATTTAGTCTCAAATTTGTACATAAAAGTAACTGTATATCACACCATCAAATGCTGGCAAGGATGTTGAGAAACCTCATTCATACCTTGCTGTAGGTAAAATGATACAGCTACTCTGGAAAACAGTTTGGCAGTTGCATATAAAGTTAAACATGCAACCACCATATGACCCAGCACTTGCACTCCTGGGTATTTTTCCCAGAGAAATGAACAGTTATGTTTGTGCAAAAAACCTATATATGAGTGTACAGCTTTATTCATAATAGTCCAGAACTGGAAACAACCTAGATGTCCTTAAGCAGGTGAATAGTCAAACTATGGTACATTGGTACCATAGAGTACTGCTCAGCAATTAAAAGGAATAAAATATTGTTAGATGTAACAACGGATCCTCATGGGCATTGTGTTTAGTGGATAAAGCCAGTTTCTAAAGATTATGTAGTGTATTCCATTTATATAACATTCTTGAAATGCTAAAATTACAGAAATGAAGAACAGAATTCGTAGTCACCAGGTGCTAGGGGCTGGCAGATGGGGTAGGAGGGTGGATGTGTTTTTATAAAAGGGCAATAGGAAGGACCCTTGTGAATACACGAACCTGCACATGTGATAAAATTGCATAGAACTAATAAACACAGAAACACACACAAATGAATGCAGGTAAAACTGGGGAAGTGTAAATAAAACCGATGGACTTATATCAACATCAGTATCCTAGTTCTTGTAGGATAGTTTTGCATCTTTGACCATTGGGAGAGACACTGGCTCTCTCTTATTTCTTAAAACTACATGTGAATCTCTGATTATCTCAACTTTTAAAAAGAAGCAAAAATTATTGTATTAGTTGCGTATGAAACACCATAAAAACTACTTTATGGGCATACTGAGTTTTGGGGGATCATTTTGGCTACCAGATTTTTCACCTCACAAGTGAGCCCATGAGGGACTCCACTAGGCCAGGAAATTGGAATTTGGGGTTCTGATGTGGGAACCAGCCCTGGAAAGGAGAGAGGCTTGATTATATCTGAAGCTGAGGAGAGGCTAAAAGGACTCCTGAAAATGCAGAGGAAGTTGGTTTTGGGAGGGAAGTTGAAGAATTTTTAGAGTAATGTGAGTGATGGCGAAGTCAGCTACAGCAGGAGGGTGGATTGGGTAACCTGGGGAGGCAGAGGAAGTTTGAAATACCTGGGCAGCTGAATCAGCTGACCCAGCTGTGGTTGGCTACATAATAGCATGCTCTTCTTCCCATTCTCAGGGCTCTCAGACCTGGAGATCCTGGATTCTGTGCCCGTGCGAGGGTCCCCATGCCCTCAAACAAGGACTACGTTGTCAGACCTAAGTGGAATGTGGAAATGGAGTCATCCAGGGTAAGCAGGCAGGGAAATAGCGAGGTGGATCTCAAGTGCAAGTTACTATTTTGTCTTTTACTTCATGTGTAATAACTCTTAACAGCTCTTGAGGTTTATCTGATTTAAAGAGAGCTGTTTTCTGGTCTCTTAGCTAGCCAGATCATTCATTGCTTGTGAGCTTTACTTCAGACTTAAAGCAACATTATCGATCCCTTTATTTCAACTGAATCTTGAAGCCTAGAGTGTTCTCATGCAGTCATTTTTTAGAACCATGAGAAACAGTACTCCCTGCTTCTTCAATCTACCCCTCCCTTTCTCTTCAACTGTTTTAAGTAATTCTGTTGTGAAATATTTAGGGTAAACACTTCCTCTGTCATCATTGTAAATACTACTCTGTGATCTTCATTGCTCTTCAGTAATCTTTTTTTATTCTCCATTCAAACTACTCTTTCTAGCCTGGTATTCTTAAAAAGGGCCTAAGCCGATTGGAAAAGCATAAGAGGCGATTTGCAGAACAGAAACGACTCAGCAAAGTGCACCGTGCTGTCAAGTTCAGCATTGAAGGCAACAGGATGCCCCTGTAGTCCTGGCCCTACCAGAGTGTATCCGGGAGGTATCCCCAAGGAAGCATGCTCTGTGCATGAGCTTGAATTGTCAGCAGCTAGAGTGGAAACAAGTGTGCGTGTGCTTTCTTAACCAGAAAAGGCCCGGCCCACTTACAGTTACTGAAATAATGACCTTAACAAACACTTCGTGACTTTCGAGTCCTATTGAATATTTAGAAATTGAAATGGAAGTCCCTTCCTTTATTAGTACCCCGGAAACTCATAATTAATTCCCCGATAAGCATTTTGATCTTCCTGTTACCCATTTTTATTAAAAAGGCTTTTTTAGGGTCCAGAATCATAGTGGTCTGCATTACAGGCATGTACACAAGTAATGAGTAGCTTCTTGGTGGAAGGGAGGTGACTTTTCCCTCCATTGTCAGTGGCTCATCAGTGTGCATTTGAGAGGACCCATTGCATAAAGCCTTACACTGAATATTTAAGAGATAAATTTGATTATTACATATTTAATACATGGTTGGAAATGAAAATGTTGGGACCATTCCTTAAAGCCACACTCACTCCCTGCTGTGCTCTGAGATGAATAGCGCTACCTTTGTAGCAGTGTGTTCTTGATGAGAGTCTGAGTGTGTTTCCTTCCCTTTGTCACTTCTCCATGACCCCTGCTTGGGCAGCTGTTTTCACGGACAACACTCACCTTTGTGCCAGTTCATTTTTGCTGTTAAGCTGCAATCAGAACAAAGCACACTTTTCTTACTTACTGAGAATAAATGAGAGATAGAAGAGCATTACTTCAGTGCCAAGAACTTTTTCATACTTCCTTCCCCTTTTTTGTACTTTTACCCATATCCACATCCCTTGATACCCCTGCTCTTCCTCGGCCTCCCCTCTTTTCTTTTTATCTTTACTTTTTATCTTTACTTTTTTCACTGTCTTTTCCCCTCTTGCTATCCCTCTCTTAGTAGTATTTTTTCTTCCCCAGCACACTTACGTTTGAGAATTGAGAACTACAGTAAGGCAGAGAAAATGTAATAAAAAACTCTCAGTGGCCAGTCTTCTTTGGAAGCCTGTGTCCTGAAGGGCATGTGTCTGTCTGCCAGTGTTACTGGTTCTGATCCCATTCTCCCAGTAGGTGATGGGCAGGTGGGAACAAGTGGCCCAGCTAGAGCAGAGAGATGACTAGCAGGAGAAGAGGGAAATTCAAGCTGCTTTCCTTTCCTTCATCCTAGCACTCCCAAGATCATAATGTGCCAGTATTTATCTAGGCCCGAGTCTAGGCATGTTTTGGGGGCTGGTGGTTTCATGTTACAGTTTAGGGTGTTATCCTTAAACCACCTGACGCTGTTTTCCTGTTCAGGAAGAGTCCTTACGAATTCACTCAGGGCTTCCACATTGCAGACACTAATGAGTATTATTAGAAAATGTATTTTCCAGAAGAAGATTGGAGTGAGTAAATGGCTTTCAAATGAAACTCTCTTTGTTTTAAATGTCATTTTTATTTTTGAAAGTACATAAGTACATATAAAACACTATAGAATAACCCCATTCCTAAAGCCCTTCCTCGAAGTCCCCACTGTTAACAGTTTGATGTGTTAAATGTATTTCCAGTAATGCTTCAAACTTGTTTTTTTCTGTTTATAATTACAGAAAATTTTGAGATTAGAAAGAGAAATCACCCACCATTCAAAAGCAGTTTGTTACAGTTTTTGCCCTTTTTTCCCTACTGATACTTTCATAAAATTATACTGTATATAATTTTGGTCGCTTCCCCTCATTAAACCACCGTATCATTTATCATTTATAATGGCTGCATAATAGTCTATCTTGTGAATATATAATTTGTTTATTTATTCCTCTGTGGTTTCTGATTTTTCACTCCTAAATAATGCAGTAACTTACCCTACATTGTATGTTTATATGTTAATTTATTCCATGGAGTGCTTTTAAGATAACAGTAAAATGACAAATGCAATGTATGTTTTTATACAAACGTTTAAATGCAGAAAGCACAAATAAAATTAATGTCGCTTGTAATTCCACCACACCTTAATATTAACATTTTGGGATATTTCCTTTTTGTCCTTTTTATATTGTACATAAACATTACTAGTTTTGTGGTTTGGTGTTTTTGTTTTCAACTTTTATGCAAAATTGTTTTATACTTTGTTGGATTTGTGTTTTACTTAACATGATAAAAATTCATTTAAGTAAACATTCTTCAGTGACTTAATATTCTGTCAAAATACAATTGTACCATAATTTTTTTTAAGCACACCCGTCTTGCTAATCTTTTAAGCTGTTTTGTTTTTTCACTGATAAAACAGTGCAGCATACACTTTTAATGTCCTAAGGAGGTGTGGTACAGAGTTGAATCAGGAGAGAGGTTATTGAATTTGGCATGTCAGGTACTATATCCTATGTGTTCTCCGATTTGGGGAAACTAGGCGTCTGCCAGCTACAAGTCTTAAAAGTTATATAAATAAGAATGGATCAGCGTTACCTGGGTGTGTCCCTTTTGCAGAGAGGCTAGAGGGCTCACATGGTTAGGGTGCTGGGAGACATTCCTGCTGGTGTGTAAAGCTGCTGGGAGTTGGGTAATTGGAGATCTGAGCGGGTAAGGCTTCTGATGTGGACTGACTATAAGTACTAAGAATCAGGGCACATTGTCTGAAAGGAGGTCACATGTTTAGGACTGTCCAGGAAATCTGGGGATTTGATAGGGTGATGGTAGCATAGCTGCTTCTCATCTGATAATGAATGTTTATGCTAACTCAGAGTACTAGTGCCAGGTGTTAAATTGACATGAATATTTGGACTTGGGATTGTTTTAGAAAATCTAGGGTGGGTGATTGCTCTTGTTCAAGACTGACTTAGGGTTCTTTGCCCTTGTCTGAGGTGCATGCTGAGTCTAGAGGTGGGATAAGACTTGGGAGGGTTCTCAACTCAAAAGGAACATCACCACACTGGTAACCAACCCCAGAGTGTCTCCTCCTGAGCCCTACCTTTTTTGAGCAGTCTTGGAATTGAGCTTCACAGGTGGTTCAGTAGTAAACATCTGGGGAGAAGTAGAAAAACTCAGTTTCTTTTTAACCACTAAACATTCTTAAAGATAGGAATCGTCAGTAACACTGTAGTCAACAAGAAGAGTTCCCCCTGGTCTTTGACGTAAGTGGCAGACCTTTTCATCATTTCTAAAGGTCAATTTCTTGGAGACTGCATCTTTTCAAGACCCATAGTCATTTCAGATTATAAAAGAAATAACCTAACAACAAACCTTTAAACATATAAGGCAAGCAGGAAGAGATGCAAGAAGTAGTAAGCCCCTTGGATCAAAAGATTTCATTTACTTTTCTTTTTGTATCAGGTGTACTTATTTAACATAAATCTAATTGGTTCCAAAGTAGTAGTAATAGCTGATATTTATTTTGAGCACTGTGTGCTGGTATTTGACACTCTTATCTCATTTACTTCTCCCGGCAGTCTTGAAAGGAGTACAGACCAGGGGCCTGATTTGCCCAGGGTTCTAGAACTTGCTAAGTCAAAGTGGGGATTCACCCCAAGTCTGAAACTAGAGCTTCAGCACTTAGTGGGTTCACTTTACTCACCTCTCACCTCATTCATTATGCTTTAAGGCTTTTTCTCAGATGACTTTCAAAGATCACTATTCTTCATGCCAGCACTGTTGGGAGGTGAATATCTCAAGTGGTCTGGTCCATGTTTGACCTTCGAAAGGGAAAAGCATATAGTCAAAATGTAATTTAATGGAATTGGGGTGATCATAGTTTAAATTTTCCCCCTTTCATCTAGGAGGTTTCTATGGACTGAGGCAGAATTTTAAAATAAGACACAGACAACTGTTAATCTATATTGAGAGAGTTTAATATGTGTACATGGCTAACACTGGTGTGTACACTTGATCTGTTGTTCCTGAGATCACCAAAGCATATTATGATTATTACAAAGATTGAAGCTCTTCTGGCTGTTAACTTTCAGATAAAAGAACATGAAAGACAAAACTAGATTTGTGTATTTCAATAATTCGCTCTTTAATTTTTACCCCACTCTTAGTTTCAGGGGACCTCCAAGAAGGGTATCAGTCGACTGGATAAACAGATGAGAAAGTTCACAGATATCAGGAAAAAAAGCAGATCTGCACACGCAGTGAAAATCAGCATCGAGGGCAATAAAATGCCATTGTGACCTTGCCTGGGATGTGTCCCCATCTCTAAGAAATGCGCAATGGACTCTTTGGAGAAAGATGATATTTTAAAAAATTTTTTAGTGTATCTGTAAATGGTTCTGCTTATATCAGATGTTGTCATAGGA